AGGACATTTGGAGAAGGGATATGGAGGTAGAGCATTGACGGGATGGGGAGGTGTGGTGTTATTGGTTGAAGATATTTTGATCAACGGGACTGGGGAGAAATGTTCACATATTGAAATGCTCACATTGTAAGCTAAACAATGTGATTGACTGTATATAAAAAATAAATTAATTAATAAAAAAGAAACCCTCTTCTAATGAAATGCTAAGAAGTAACTAACAAAAAAAAAGTTGCTCAGTCTTACTAATTATCAGGAAAATGCAAATAAAGAACATGATACGATGAGGTATCATCTTATGACTGTTAAAATGGTTCTTATCATAAAAAATAGCAAATACAGGTGATGATGTAGAATAAAAGGAACCCTTGTATACTGTTGGTGAAAATGTAAATCGGTCTGTGAAACTCATGCTGTTGGGTCCCCCAACTGTGACTTGCCTTCCCTCCAAATTCCCAAAATACCCACTTCTCACCTACTTGTCCTAATGTGATGTTAGAGCTAGGAACTGAAGGATATTAATTAAATTAAGAGAAAAGATAACAATATTTTAGGCAAACCATCTGCCATGTCAAGGCTCCTGTGATAGGAGGGATCATAGAAATTGCCAGAATAAAGCTGAAGTAGAAAATTTGGATGGGGGGGCCATGAATGGCATGATGATTAGGCACTGAACTCCCATATGGCCGGGCACATTTCAATTCTCCAATGTGTTGGCTTGCTTTCTCACTTTCTCTCTCGTGAGCACACATGCCTCATAGCAATTTTTTTTTTAAAAAAAGGACAAATAAAATGGAAGAAATAATTATTAAAAGAGAGAGAGAGAGAGAAAGTGAGAAAGTATGGGTAGGTATAAGATGAGATGAAGTTGGAGTATAAAATTGGAACCAGAGAACACAAGGCCTCATGGATTGTCATGGTGTTTTCCATTTAACCTTAGGGAAATGTAAAACCTCAAGGAAGTTTCAGTAGATGAACATCAGAGGTCTTACGGGGAGAGTTACATTGTGTAAACATCCTTCTGCCTTAGTTGGAGAGACACTAGAGTGAATACAGGAGACCAATAGTGTTTCTTGCACAAATTAGGAGCAACAATTTAGAATGGTAGAAAGGAAGAACACAGAATGTATAGTTGAGCAGACCTGTGGTAGACCCAGATTCCAGAATTTCTGAAACATTGTGAGGGCATGTGAGAGAATGCGTAAGAAGCTTCACAACATTAACTCACTTCCATTACTTCCATTCCATTTACTTTGAGTCTCTCCTAAACTAGACTCAGAGAACTGTTTGCTATGCACAAAGCACACTCTCACATTTTCAAAATCTACCTCATCGTTGCCATTTAAGATTTATTTGCTCATTATATTATCCTCAATAGTTGTATCATAACTTTACGCTTTTACTCTTCATGTTATATATTTAATATAAAAAGCAAATTCCCGTTACAAAAACAAAAAACAAGAAACTGCACAAAACTTGTTATATGGACTTAATAAGCAGGTTGAGGTAAATAGAGAAGATTACAGTTTGGGCCAACCAGCATAAACTCTAACCTTTCAAACAATGCCTTCTTTTATGTACTGTGCTTCATATGGGTATCAGAGTAGAACTGTGTAATGACAGCCCTAATAGCCACCAGTCATAAAGAAACAACAGAAGAACAAATGTTGAGACTTGAAAGTTGGAAGGATCAATAGCTAGATAGCATTTGTTATATGAGAGCTGAAATTAGATCTTCAAAGAAATACTGCCGAAAGCAAAATTAATTAGGTAATCTAGTATGTTCTAAAAACAACTTATTTTAAGGTTTGAATCCCCACTCACACTATATATTTCTGTCACTACTCATCTGGTTTGAAGATTTACTCAAATGCAAACTTTATTCTCTGACCGTTTAATAATCCAGTCTACCCTATCTGGTGTAATTTTTATACTGTATCCCCTTTTGAGGGTGGACATGTTTTAATTTTTGTGGTAAAATTTTAAAGTCAGATATTATTTATCTTTGTATCCCTGTCATTTATAGGATGTATACTTAAAGATAATATGTTCACTGGGTAAACATGTGAATTCATGTGGGGGGATCTCTGTTAAAATATTTTCAAGTACTACCTTTGATCAAGTAGACATCCTTTACTATCTACTTTTATCTTTCTCTGTTTGCCATCATGACATTTGTTTTCTTCATTTATATCATCTGTACACGTATGTGTTGTCTAACCTTTCCCCTAGAATATGTACTGAATGAGGGCAGGGACTTTTTCTTCCTTGCTACTATGTACTTTGGTCCTGGAAGAAAACCTGGTACAGCAGAAATGCTCACATATATTTGATAAATGAATGCATAGTCAAAGTTTTCAGTGTTTCCTCTTTATAATTGCCAGTACTTGATAAGACAACAATATTACTCTGGGAAATTGTTATTCTTTAACCATTGTAATGTTTTATTCAGAGCTCTCTCTTATTCAGAGAAACAGAATACATACAAAAATGCACACATGCACAGCCTGTTGATTCTCACTCTTTCTCATGTATGTATAATATATATATATATATATAATATGTGTGTATATATACATATACATATATACATATATCTTTGTATTTGCTAGTATAAGCATACTTCACATAATATAATTATTAGTCATTATTGTCATTAAGTATCAGTAAGTATAATGATATAATATTGTAACATTGTATATTAATGTATATATAAAATTACCTACTAGATATATGAGGAAAGAGGAAGATATGTTTTTCTCATTTTCTGTTTCTGGAGAGTTGTCTTTTAAGGAATTGATTCATTCAATTGTGGAAACTAAAATCTGAAATTTTCAGGACATGCCCACCGGAAATACTGGCAGTTGTCCTCTGGGATCTTAGTCCTTCTTCCTAAAGCCTTCAACTGATTGGATGAGGCTCACCTACATTACAGAAAGTAACCTGTTTTATTCAAAATCTACAGACTTAAATATTAATTACTTTAAAAATAGCTTCATAGCAACGTCTAGACTGGTGTTTGACCAAACAACTGGGAACTATAGCCTAGGCAAGTCGACGCACAGAATTAGTCATCACAAGAAAGAAGCCTAATCCCTAACCTTTTTCTATTCCATGGATTCCTGTAGAGACCCTAAGTGCTTCCTATAGAGATGCTGCCAGCAGAGGGCACCCTCAGGCACAGATTTAGAGGGTCTCAAGCCTGTGCCTGCCCTACTCAAAGCCCAACATACCTAACCTCCTGGGAGCTTGTTAGTAGTGCAGAGTCTCAGGCCCCATAACAGAGCTAGGGAATGAAAAACAGCATGTTAGCAAGGTCGCCAGGGGATTCCTGCACATCTTAAGCAAATGCAATGCTCTTTCCAGGGAATTCTGAGTGAAAAATTCTTCCTTTTCAGATCCTTCTTTTTAGCATTCTTTATTGGCATTATGAATGGTCAGATAACTTACTTGAAGGTACAGAAGAGAATTGTCCTGGTTGGCTTCTCTGCCTTTTTCTATTTAAGGAGCACACAGGGGCCTAGTAAAGATCATCCCTGTCAAGGCTTTATATTGACAGGAGAAGTAGGCATACCCTTCACTTCAGCAGAAGCTTTCAAGAGAACAGCAACGTGGTTAGAAGGTGGACTATACCGCCTGTTGAGAGACCTAGATTTGTATTGTTGTTTTTAAAGTTTATTTATTTCCTGAGAGAGAGCAGGAGAAAGAGGAGCACTTTCGAAAGATTTCCCATGCTGCAATCCTGCCCCCACCATCCAGGATCATGGGTGCAGCTGGTGTGTTCAGGTTGACCCTGGCAGGTTGACCATGGACATGAACCCAGAGCCTTCCCACATGGCCTCCAGCACTGTGCGGCTGAATCTGTACTGCCTCTACCACTGAAGCTGGGTCCAGGACAGGGTTTTTTGCTTTCTGTTTATAGCCACAGACTTTGAAAAAGATGTAACTCTGGCTGCTGTTTCCTTATCTATAAACGGAAAAGTATGGATTATATAGGTGTGTGTGTGTGTGTGTGTATGTACTCTGTGTGTGTGTGTGTGTGTGTGTGCAAATATGGACTTGTAACCAGTTAAAGTATGTCTTGAGAGTCAAAATAATGATGAAAAGAATGGTGCTCTCAAGGAAAAGGTAGCATTTACCCATGGTAGAATCATTGATATGCATTATTGCACAAAAAAATTTTCAAAGTCTCAAAATACCTTCACATAATGGTCACCAAATTCTGAAATTCTATTTTAGAGGATTAAGAAAAAGTCAGCCATTTAAATAAATGAATAAATTAGTAAAGAGGCTTTCTTGAGAAACAATTTTTAGCTGGGTACAGATGGGGGAAACATACATACACTTTGAATCATTGGAAGAAGAATGGGAGTTTGGGGAGGAGATGGAACAGCTCAGAAATTAGACTTAAATTATGATTTGCTTAGTGTAATCTGTGAAAATGGTTACATACAAAAGAAAGTGCCAACCCAGGGTGTTGAGCTAATGGGTTTAGAATAAGCCAAGGTATTTGATTTTGCTGTATGACGAGCAAATCTTTATGTTCTTTAGAGTCTCAGATTGAACCAAATAAAATTCTTATATGATCTTAGGTTTTCCCA